GACCTGACTTTTCTTGTTTGAATAGAAGCATGATAATTGTTCCTCACCATTGAGTAAAACTTTATCCCTACAGTTGGTTCTGTTGAGAGGTTAATTAGTGCAGAAGTTGGTACTCCTAGTACTGACCTATCTATGGAATGTGGTTTGGGGATTTTAGGATACAGCTATAACTGCAGTCTGCCAGCATAGGGAGTAATTATATATTGAAGTAGTCATCATGATGATTCTTCAAGATATTTATTACAAAATAAACCTCTCAATACACTGTATGCAGTGATAAGCTAATATTCATTTAAAACTATGGTGAGAGACAGAGAAGTGGAGGTCATGGAAGGGGTCAACATCTTCTGAGGTACTCAGGATCCACCTCCTATGATTCTGTGACAAACAAAATCAGTTTGAGACGTTGGCGTTAATGGCCCTTCAGCTTCAATAAAAGGGGGCTGGTGTCAGTGTTTTGAGAGAAGATCACTCAACTCAAGAACTATTTCCCCCCCCCCCCATTCCCTTGCAGAGCTTGAATTTGTTGACCTACAATTACCAACAAATTGTTGAATTTGTTGTTGCAAAGCTTATTTGTTGTCCCAGACTTTCTCTGAGGAGTTTTAACTTTTTGGTTTTGTATGTAAATAAAAAACAAAATCCTAGATTGTACATGTGCTTGGAGCCTTGAAGAGAGGAATCTTTAAAATGATATCAACAAATAGTTGCAACAGTCATGCAACATTCATACTGGGATACAAGAAAACATTTCTCTTCACTCAAAAATCCTTCCTCCCCATGAACTCAGGGTGCCTTCTCTTGGTAGCTGCAGTCCCTCATCTCTCTTCCATTGTTGCTGTGCTCCCCCTCTCCTTGTTGCATCAGTGACTGTGCTTCCTTTCCCTCCCCCACTTCAACAGCTGTGCTGCTCCTCCCAATTATCCCTCTTATTAGCTATTTTGGGAGAGGAGGTCTGTTGATGTCTCCATGGCAGCAGTCCACTCACAATCAGATGAGGAATTAGGTGGGGGAAGGGGTGGAAGAGGGTTAAGACAGAAGCTTACTGAACATATACTCCAGTGGCCCCTGTTGCACACCGTGGAAGCCAAGATGTTGATGTGGCAGAAGTTTAGTGTTGGAAGCTGTGCTGACTCCAAACCGGAAATGACAAGAAAGAAGTTTTGAGGCTATTTGAGTGACATTGAGCAAACTATAGCTCCTTCAACCTGAAACTTGCCTTTATTTTGGAAAGTGGTGGATTATTTCCCCATGTCGTCAGAATTTGAACTGGCTTCATATACGGTAACAGCCTCTTTCTATAGATAACTAGTGCAAAGGTGGGGCCACTTGAACCAAGACTGGCTAACTTTACAGTCTGAATTAAACCACTGCTATGAAAACAGTATAGTAATGTGGTTGCCCTTCTAGAAATGCAGTACAAAACATGGAGAAGACCCAAAGGACGATAGTGAAGGGATGATGATCCAAAATAGTAGAATTAAGTCATTAAAGCCTTTAAATAACCTTGTAATTATATCTCTCCACATAAGTTTTGGGTGACCAGATGAGAGACGTGAAATATCGGGACGCGGGGGGGGGGAGGGGTGCCAGAGGAGCAAAAAAAAAACAACCCCAAGAGCTGGCGGCGGAGGAGGAAAAAACAAACAAACAAACAAACAAAACAAGAGCCACCGGAACATAGGAAAAATTGGTGGGGACTGAGAACCCACCGGCAGCTCCACTCCATGCCACGCCCCCTGCACCAGCTCGCCTCTGCTCCTCCTCCACCTCCCCTGAGCGGGCAGCCGCGTCCTGCTTCTCCCCCCTCTCTCCAGCGCTTGCGCCACCATATAGCTGATTAGCGCAAGCCTGGGAGGGGTGAGGAGGAGAAATGCGACGTGCTTGGGGAAGAGGCGGGGATTTGGGGAGGGATCCAATGGGGGAAGGAGGGGGCGGAGTTGGGGCGGGGGGGGGCGCGAGCCCCCTCCGCCTGTGCGCCAGAGGACAAACTATCGGGACAAACAAGTAAATATCGGGACAGTCCCGATAAAATCGGGACGTCTGATCACCCTACATAAGTTAGAACAGACTGGGCATACTGAAAGCGTGAGGCTGATCCCATTGGGAGTGGGAGAACCAGGTTATTGAAAGAAATTGAGGAAATCTTATGCCATAGGGAGTTTAAAATTGAGAAGTAATGGAGTCTTGTATAGGGAGATGTACATCAACCAGGAGATGGAAATCTAATGATAATAATTCTCAAGGAGAAAGTGCCTTGTGATTTATTATACTGCAGTGGACATCTTGGTCCAGAGAATGCTACTTAACTGATGAAGAGAAGATTTTATCAACCACAAATCTGGCAAGAAGATGCTAAATTGTAAGCAAAATGTCAGAATTGCACTTTGTTGAAGATCTCAGAAAGACATAAAGTACCCTTGCCCAATGAGAAGACCATTTTATTAGAAATTTGTGATGGACTACTTGACATTCTCTCTCATTAAGGAAGTGAGGCTTATGAATGCCTTAACAGAATACTACCATTTATCTTAGGAACGCTGAAAGAATCCAAAATAGAGAACTGTTGTCTCTATTGAACTGCCTGTAACTCCAAATACTCTTCCATGGTTTACACTCTATTGCTTCCCCCCGATGTCTGACCTGCATGCCACATCCTCTATTGTAGGAATTAAGTATAGCAGAAGGCAAAGCAACAGCAAGGATGCTACTACCAGGGTGGCAAAAAAGCTGGAGCCGGCCCTGGCTACTACTACTGGACTTCAAGAAAATGCTGGCAATACATGAAGAGTTGTAAGGAGATCACAGAATGCATGTTCAGATGTCCCCTAGATCAGAATTAGAGCCAAATTATTCAACAGGAATACAGAACTGAGAGAGAAATTTGTGGCAATCAGTGGTCTTGAGACTGCTAGTTATGACCAAGAAATGGAGGTTTTGAGGGCTTGTAACGTAACATTCATTTACCTCTTTGAAACTTTTATGTGCATTTAACGTAGACAGTAATATAAAGATATATAACCTGCATGAAATTATTTTTGTGAACTTCTGCAACTATCTAGCTGGATTTGCAAGCTAGTTACATTTTTGTCAGCTTGATCCGTGTAATTTAAACCCATTTTATTTTCAAGATTGATTCAGTCTGAAAACCATGTTTTCGAAGCTAAAGGAAAGCCTATGCCAGAAGCTAGCGCAAGTGGTTGCCCTGTGAATGTGTGTGTACGTGGGGGGGAGGAGGAATGATCCTCTTTCTTCCCACCACCACCAAAATCCCAACTTCTCTTCACAGTTCTTCCTGTATGAAATGCCAACTCCACAAAGTTTGAATCAAGTATTTGATCTGTCTTTTAAGAGGGCTAAAATCAGACAAAACAAGTTCGTCTTTCCCTAAATATGCTTGCTTTATAGGAGCAGGCCTAGTGATTGTTGTTTTTGGAACAGCTGTTCTGTCCTCTTTTTATGCATGATAAAACTCCCATTTCAGTTAAATCCTTTCTCAAAATATACTTCTTTTGTAAGGCACTCACAAATGGCCACAGCAAAATTATTTGTGAATTCCAACTCATAGCATCTCACTACGGGTCGGTAGAGTCTAAGATTGTTGAGGCCAGGAATATGTCTTTGTTGTAAAGTGCCAAAAGTACAGTTAGTGCTTAATTAGTAAATAAAGTTGGATACATCTGTAACAAAGACCACACAGTTGTGGTGCGATTAGGGGAATAGTGAACTCTGTGTTTCCTGTCTTTAGTTATACGTGATGATGTAACTTGGTATAGAAACCTTGCTCATAAACCATCTTGCCTATTTTTGATGGACTGGATGTGGTGAAGAGAGAGGAGAGATGCTGGAGTCTGAATCACTTTCTTGTGGTTATGGAGAGGGTGAGACTGAGGTACCTCACACAGGAAAGCCGTTACTCTCAAAAGAAATTTAGTTTCCCTCCATAGTATGACACATAAGACCCTATCTACATAAGACTTGCAAGAGAGTTTAAGAACTGTGCTCAAGTATAGGTTAAACTTAGTTGTAGCTAAAATCTGTTAGAATTTAGGTTTGGACTGCTAGTGTGAATAGGATCAAAGAATTTTAGAATCATGTTGCCTACTGCCAGTTTTTGATAAATTACTTGGGTGTAAATCTGGAGTAAATCCACTTATGATGATGGAGTAACTGTAATTTACATTAGTGTGGCTGAGATCAGAAAATGGCCAAAAGTTTCTACTTCTCAAAGAGTGGCTCTAGTCTGAAAAGTGACTATATAAAAATGGCATCTTTTTACTCAATGACACCCTCTTACTTCCCCTTGTGGGATACCAGAGAAAATCAGGGAAATTTGCTGCCTTAAAGGACAAAAATAGTTCTGTTTATTACCCTTTACTTCCATTCGCTGTGCAGGGCCAACACAGGTATCACGGAATAAGGGGGATTGATATAGGGTCCCCTAACTGGACCTCAGCTAGTGCCATTGCAGGTCCCAGCCCGCTGGGCCCCCGTGGCTGAAGCGTGGTGTGCGGGGCTGCTGGCTACAACAGCCACCCCGACTGAAAGGCGGGCCGGGGGAGCGCTGCCGCCGTGGCCCGCACTGGGGCTCGCCTGGGAAAGGCAGCGAGCGCGCAGGCCCGGCGAAGCCCAGGCGGCCGGCACCGGGCCCCCACGGGCTTAGCCCGGTAGCACCGCTGTCCCCGCCGGAGCCTCGCTCCCTAGGGGTCCGCCCAGCCTCCCCACGCTCCCCTGCCCTCTTCTGCCCTGCCACCACAGAGACACCAACTCGCCAATCAGCGAGACCAGAAGCCATCACCACGGCAACCCTGCTGACCAATCCACAGTGGTTCTCTGCCTGTGGGTCTTTATACCCCCGGCCCCCATCGGTCCGCTCCACTCTAGCAGCGCTGTCCAATCACAGGCCGCGATCGGTCCTGTGGGGCGGGGGGAAAAGAGGGAGAGCAAGGGCGTCCAATCGCTGCCGGGCTTTTGCTTTCGTCACCCAATGGAGAGCCGCTTTGGCCGCTTCTGTGCAATCCGCATTCCACGGGAGTCGAAGAGGGCCAAACCCGGCTGCTGCGGCCTCCTCTTCGCCTCCCCTCACCCGATAGCGCGGAGTAGCCGGCGGTTGCCTCGGGCTTTGTCCCAGGCCGGCTCCCCTCCCCCGGCCGGGTTCGTGTCTGCGGCCGAGCCGCCTTTTCCTGCCTCTCGCAGCGCTTCTCCCCGAGCCGCCCGGGTCCGCGGCGCCTCCGGCAGCGCCGCCCCCCCCCTCCTCGGGGGCTCGGGCTGTGCCGGGGGAGGAGGGGGATTAGCGCTGCCGCCGCGGCCGGGCCCGTCTCCTGCCCCCTCCCCCCGAACACCATAGGCGGCTCAGGCACCAAGATGTCCAACCGAGTGCTCTGCCGGGAGGCCAGCCACGCCGGCAGCTGGTACACAGCCTCAGGTAGCGGGGCCGGCCGGGCGCAGCCCCGGCCACCGGGGGGAGGCCGGGGAGGGCAGGAGGTTTAGGGGCCCGCCCCAGTGGTGCCCTTCGCGGGGGAGGGGGTCGCTGCAGGGTGTCACCGCCGCTGGGTCTAGGGGCTCGGCTGGAGCCGGAAGCTGAGTCAGCGCTTCCCACCCCGGAGGGGCAGGTCAGCGCCACGGCCGCTCATCCCTGCGCCGCCGGCAGGGCCCCTGCCTCCCTCCCCGGGGTGGGAGCTGCAGGCCCCGCCTCCGCTGCTGATAGTGGTAGCCGCGGCGCGGAGGGGGCCGTGCGGGCACATGGCGCTGGCTCCCGTTCACACGCTAGCAAAGGCAGTTCCCTCCCAGGCAACGGGCTCGCCCCTGCCTGTCGCGCACACGCTCCGGAGCCAGCGGGCCCGCGGGCTGCACGTGCAGCCCCAGCTAAAACCGTGCAGCAAATCCCCGAGTGTGCCTGCAGAGCAAACTGGCTAGTAAAAGAGGACTGGAAGGGCTCATTGTGCCGCTAACTGGCTGACCCGAGCTGCCCGTGTCCCAGGCACGGCCGTACCCAAAGCATCGCAACGGGCAGCGGAGTGTTGTATGACTAGGAAAGGGAAATATAAATTGATGATAGAAACGTAGGAATCGCTATATCAGGGTCAAACCAGTGGTCTGAGATCGTATAATACCTCCGACGGTGTTGGAGGATGCTGGGTACCTTATAGGTGTGAGAAACTGTTGTGGACAATTATGGAATAATCAGTTTATAAGGGAGGTTCCTGAAATAACTTTCTAATGTTGAGATATGGTAGAACATGTAATGATGAAAGCCCCCATTTAAATGTAGGTAAAGTGTAACCCTAATAAACATATATCTAAGATGCTCAGAATGCAGTCTGACTTGTGAACCTAAGTAGAACAGAAGGAATAGAAGAATACATTGATGACCAATCCTGTACTTGTTTAGATGGACTGATGATTTAATGGTGTCTTTCTCTCTCTCCCACCTCCCTTTATACTGTGTGGTGATTGCATTGAATTATCTTAAAATAGTCTGTGGAGTAATTCATTTCAAAGAGCCAAGTATTAGTGTTGTTTGGCCTGCAAAACACTAACTGGGATTTTACTTTGTAATGGCATATATAATCAGACATGTTATCGTAATGTATAATAAAACTGGTTTACGTAGGTTGATTATGCCTTTGTGTCTCTTGCATATGAAACTCCTTGCGAAGTGGAGTGCATAAATGAATGGGTATATGCATGTGGTTTTGCCTCATAAAGTTAAGTAATTTTACACCCATTATGTCAACTGCTTAATTCTCAAAGCTGAGATGAAAACTCTCTTAATGTAAGTGGACCAAAACCAGTTTTTAAAAAAATAATGTTTGGCTTCCAATTCCATTGCTGTTTCTCTTCTTCCATCCCATCATCTTACTGAAAATCACTATTGAAATTGATAATGTGAGAACTCACTATCAGATACTATCGACTAGCTTTTATTTTTATGTTGATGCAATAATCCAAAACTAAAATGTTTTTATAGCATTTAATATTGTATAAACAGTACTATTATTTCTGTCCCCCAATCTCCATAGTCAATTTAATTATGTAGGTGTCATATATTGGCTAGAATCAAGGATATTGTGGCACAAGCAGCTATCATAGCTGTTTTTCCTGCATTTAAAAAAAATCTTATGGGGGGGGGGAGACACACAGCATTTGTACTGCTGTTGCTTTTTCACCTAGCCCATTTCTGATGGCATTGTGGAATAAAAGTAAAGTGAAACTGATCTGATCCCTGTGTGTTTTTCCTATTCTTTCTGCTGGCCCTTTGGGGAAGTAGAAGATGCAGGTGCTGGGCGCACTCTATAGAGTTGATGGGGTTAGAGAGACACTAGCAATGTCTTTTCATGTAGTCCAAGCAGCAGTGAAGGAGTCTGTCATTGGCTATTGCACATGGCTTCTCCCTTTCAGTGATAGCAGTAAAGTGATAGATAGTGATCTGATCAGTTTCAAGCTGTGTCTGCTGGCACTTTAGGAAAGTGCTGTATGTGGTGACAAGAAACTGATTGTGAAGGAAGGTGATGAAGGTTGAGCTGGACAAAGGAAGTTGTACTGATGGCCTGGTGACACATCCAAACTTAAGAACAAGTTTTGCCAAGTGCATTTTGGAATGTTGAGGTCTAAGGGATAATCCAGGAGGAGGAAAGAGACAAAGACAGGAAAACATAAGAAGTGGGAGAACAGGAAGATGATATGAGTAGCTTGACTTTAGTAGGGATATTTTGTAGCTTGAGTTTTATTTCCTGGAATCGTACACCTACTTCAGTGGAAAATTTGTAGGTGTGATCCACTCTAGGCAAAAATACTAGCTCAATTTTCAATTAAATCTAGAAAATAAAATTCTAATGCTTTACCAACTATTCTGTATAGACACCTCAAATAATAAATTTATTTGAATATGAGGTTACATATTTCAACACAAGTGAGGACCTTCAAAAATTGTCTTTCATGGTAACATTAACTTGCCCAGATTGCGTTTATTTTAATTAGCTTACTAAATAATCTTCTCACATTACATATCAGTTTATTAGCCTAATTAGGAAAGTGATTTAAAATCCCCCCCCCCAAAAACTCTTATATTTAAACCTGGCCATGCTGCAGCTAAACATGGTTATTCTCTGCACACAACACAGTTAGAGTTTAGTTACCCAGTCAGCTAAGAGAGGCCTAGGTTGACACATTACTGTCTTTCTGTACTGGTTCAGCACACACTTTTTGGGCAGGTGATACACCTCAACAAGCCCATGTAACTAGTTTTGTTCAGTTGTGCTTCACCCAGTTCTCTGCAGTAGGACATCTTAAGAGTGCATTGCCCTACATGCTTTTGTATGCATGTGTTCTGGGTATTGACTGCAAAGACAGTATGGGATAGCTGGCCAGAGACTCTTCTCAAGGAAAAAAAAATAAGAGTACTAGATGTGGAGACACGGAGACACAGACACACACATGTGAAGGTAGAAAAGCTGACATTTGAACTCAAACTGAACCATGTTCTAACTAGTCACAAAATCATGGTCAAAATTTGTTGTGTGGATGGGGCCTTATTGTTACTTTATTTCTTTTAGTTAGTTTTTTAAGAAATAAAAGAAATTTGAAGGGAAAGAGCCATTGTTTGATAGATTGACTGGATTTTAGCCTACCCCCTCATTGTCCACACATATGCAAACCTTTAATCCAGGTTTGAATGTTCTTTTAATCTGGGTTTGCTTGTCTGGCAGGAGGTATAGATGAAAGTCCAGGTGCTGCTAGCTGGCCAGAGGATCACATCAAGGTTCTGGTTGCTCTCTGGTGTGAGCAGTAGGAAAACATAGTTTTGGGAGATACTGTTGAAATTAGCATCTCTGCAGGAATATTTCAAAGACTGGGGGAGGAGAGGGATCAGGTAGATGACAATTCAGTTTGGGGGAGAATTAAAAACCTCAACAACACCTACTGCAAGGCAAAGGACACCAATTGAATGTCCTGCAATTCCTCATTTACCTGCCCCTACTATGAGGCGTTTGACTAGATGTTTGATGCTGTCGTGAGTACAGAGCCCAGTGCCAGGCTTGATGGGCTTTTTGAAGTGGAATGGTCTGATATTTAGACTGGGGGCAGAGGAGAACCTCGTGGCAGAAGAGCTGGAGCATATCGCATGGCCAGAGTGGCTGGAGGATGTCCTTATGCTGGATTTCATGGACCTGTTCAAGGATGTACCCAAGGAATGGAATGTTGAGGAAGCGGAGTCAGAGGTGGAGCCACAGTCAGGTAAGAGACAGCTATCACCTTTATTATCATTATGGGGGGTGGTGTGAGTGGGGTTTGCTGACTTTAGACCAGTGCAAATATTATTACAGAGGATATTGTATGCTATGAGGTGGCATTAGCTTCAGTTGAGGGTGAAAGCCATGCTTTTTCCCTTTTCCCTCTTCCTACTCCATCCATGTGTGATCCAGGATGGATTCCGGGATGGAATTTAAACATGCAACTAGTGATTTATTCTAACTAGGATTTAGCATAACACACTTGTTCAACATTGGGATTACGGGTTTAACAGGAATGAATGCATATATAATATGGGTACTCTACGCTCTGTTTATAACTGTTATACTGGGATTAACACTAAAGCCTTACCTCTGTCACCAAGGGACGTTTCCACTTAATATAGCCAGTGAGGCATTTGGCCTCCTTGGTTTGTGACATGTTGTCCAGGCCAGGGGAAATGGATTGGGGTGGGGTGGAGGAATGAAGATAAAAAGGCAGATCTATTTGTAGCAAGGCTGTGCATCCTCCTAGTTCAGTATCTTGTTTGCTGAACCCCCCTACCCCCCCCCCAACACACCTAGCTGATAATGCTTGAGAATTTTGTCAGTGAAATTCCTTGGCAGGGCAAACTTGCTATACCTATCCCTGTAGCTTACTAGCCTTGTCCAGTCATTGATATGCTGATCAGGTACCAGGCAGTTAAATAACACCTTGGCATATATAAAGCTGATCCTCTTCCAGTCTGGGATCCCCAGTAGATCAACATCCCCCAACACTGTGGCATTGTGAAATAATGTTAAGACCATCACTAGTAACAGGCCCCTGGTCATGTAGGCCTTACTACCCCTTTTGCCCCCCACAATTTTAAAAATAAATAAATTATATAAAATACTTAAATTGCATCTGTGGACTGGTAACCTGGGATACAGCTGCTTCTAATCATTTAAATATGTTATGGCTGAAATAAAGTCATACCAAGTAAAGGGAAGTATTTACTTGTGGCCTTTCTATTATACAGAATGTAAAAAAGATACTTTTTCTTTCTTTCTATGGTCAAAAATATAATACTCTTTCATTGTCTTGTTAGGACCTTTCACCTCTGCTGGGCCCAGGCTTCTTGGGGAAAGGACTGTAGGGGAAAAGGAAAAAGGAGGACCTGGTACAAGAAATGGCTAACGACTTTGGATGCAA